CATCGTTTTAATGCACGATCATATGCATGTTTAATATCACCGGATCGAACAAAATTATTAATAACACCTGATTATGAAGATAAACATTCATATAGTCATCAAATACATGAAGTAACTGTTATATTTGATATAAAAACATATGCTATACTTCGAATAACACCAGCTCGTAAGTGTTAAAACAAAAAATAAAATAAGATTATTAAATTTTTTTGTCAATTAGGTTATGATCAACGATTTTCATTTGATCCACGGTTTGGTCATTCACGTTTAGCAGAATTTGATACAGTTCGTGGTCAAATAACAGATATAACAAAAGATCGTGTACTTGTTTGTTCAAATCATACATTGAAAACAAAAGTCTATCGTGTGGAATATACAAATGATGGACATCTTATTATTGTTCTATGCACACGTAAGAATTTAAATTTTCAAAAGAAAGAATTTGAAAAAGAACATTAAGAAAAATTGATATCGGTTAAAAACTGCTTCGTCTAAGAAATGTGTAGAGTACACTAGTCAAGAACGAAAAAGAAAAGTATCGAAGTACTGTTCGATCGGATCTGAAAAAGATTCCGAGCTATTCAATTGCTTGAGAATATTGCTATTCGATTGTTCATAATGAATAGCAAAAAAACAAAACTTTTTTTGATTGGATTTTCCAATCTTTGCTTGTTGAATTATTGACATTTTATTCAACTTTTGTCCTGTGAGCATACGAATCTGAATGATTGAATATCAAGCTGAAATTTCGCTCTCGAAAAAATTCAAAAGTTTAAGCTAGGACAAATATATTCGAATTGAGGCGTTGGCTTTTCCTAGAAACGTCTTCCATTTGAATGCAGGTCAGAACAATAGTTTCTTTAAAATATAAATATCTGAGCAAGAATATGTTTATCCTAGCTAAAACTTTGGGATGTTTATAATAGCTATAGAATCTATCCATGGCGATATTTCAGCTCGAATTTCAATCATTTAAGTTCCTATATTTATAGGAAAAAATTGAGTAAAATGCTAATAACTTAACAAGCGAAGACCGGAATACTAAATCTAAACAGATATTTTTTCTACTCGTTATGACCGATCGAATGGCAATAATTTAGTATTTTATCCAGGTTTTCTCTTCTGTAAAGATAATGAAAAATACTCAAGTACTCTACTATACAGGTACCCTTAGGCCCTCAAGACATTTACTATAGCCTATAGTATAGGCCTTGAAGACCTAAGGGTGCTCTATAGTATAGCACTTAAGGTCCTAGGAGTTCCTTTATAGTATAGGTATTGAGAACGTAAGGGCACCCTTTATCGACTTTAATATTGACTTTATTAAAGTTAAAGTGCTACTCCTAGTTCTCATACTGAATAAATCATGGTTTATATACAAAAAAATTTTTCATGTTTTTGTTGTTTTTTTTAGTTCCAATATTTCAACGTGTTAAACGTAATTATTTTCTCTATATTCTTAATTCTTCCACATTATTACATACACGTAGTATCATCGATTATCGTGGTCCATTTTTTTCTCCATTTGTATTTACAAATGAATTTTCTCTATTATTTAATATTTATCCATCATTATCAAATTGTGGTTCAACATTAGCTGTTTTAAAAAATATTGAACCATCATTAAATGTACGTCTTATTGAAGTTTATTCATTACCATATACATGTACAACATTAAAAGAAGTAACAAGACGAAATATTTTACGTTATGTTGATCGAAAACGAATTAAATATTTACGTTTACCTGACAATTTAAAAGCTTATTTAGCTTATAAACCTCAATTTACATAAAACGAAAAAACAAAAGAAATCAAAAAAATATATATGTATATAATGAAAATATTATATTTTGCTTTCTAGTCAAAATTTCATCTTTTCTCCCTTTTTGTTTTTTGTTTTGTAGTCATTTTGTTTGCAATATATTTTTCTTGTAATCCTTTTGCCTTTTCCTTGTCGTCTTTTGTGCCAATGCTTCTTTCTTTTATGCTCTTGTATGAATTAAATTATAATAAAATACACCATATTACAAATAGATTAGATTATATTTCACCAATAATGAATATTATCAATTTATTAAAACAAATAATCAAAAAAAAAAAACATCGATTTCTATTTTGTATGGATAATATTTTATTTTGTCAAACTGGAAACGGATCATAGATGGAATCGGTATCGGTCCAGACTTCAGACCAGCCGGTCTATCAGTATTTACCGATTTAACGACTTACTGCCGATCTATAGATAGTTACCGGTTTAACTTTTTTTTTACTTTTCATCGAGATTCTTGCAACATTCTGATTGACCCTAATTGATATTGTTCATTAAATATATACTGAAGTTTTGTTGGAATTTCACGAAAAACAATTTATGCAAAAAAAAACAACTTTAATACGTTCGATATAAACAATTCTATAATTCTTTGTTGTACACGTTTAATCATCGCTAGAAGTGGTAATAGCAGTCCAATGCTCGTGCCGATTTTAAGCCTACCGATCTGTCAGTCCAATATCGATCTACTGGTAGACCGGTTCCATCTAGGAAACGGACAGTTGTTCGCTATGCAAACTTTTAAAAGAATTCTCTTCAGAATTTCTAGACCGGGCTCTGTAAAAATCTCACCGCAGATGCAGCTTGTATCCTACAGTCTACTTTCGGATTTTTTTCTCATAGAGTCAGCGAGAAATTCACTAATTACTTTTTAATTCATAGTCCTATATCAAAAAGCTCTAAAAATACACCTTTATTAATATACAATTGTCCGAGAAAGTAACACTAAAAATTCTTTGTAAAGGTAAATGATCTACAAAATATGTATATCATATACGATTCAAGCATGGGCCTGGGGAAAGAGAAGACTCCCAAACTTCGCGAGCAAGTGTCCTATATCTCTATCACATATGTGTACACGTTGAAGATGTTACTTATGAATCTTCAAAATGTTTCACTAATGTTTTCTTTTCAATGAGAATTCAGTTGATGCATTTTGGAGATTCTGATAATATCTTATAGAGGTATTTGGGCACGAACCAAAGTCGGAGTCAAATTCCACTCCGGCTTTCTTTCATGTCTCTAGACTTCATTAAAATCATGCATCAGTTTGTACAGTAAATATCAGAAAACAAGACCTACTACTCAAAAAAAGTTCATATGTGTATCTTTCAGTCTTTTATTTTTGGTATGAATAATTAATCTAAAATTAGAATTAATTGATTAAAGTAATCTGTGCATTGTACTATTAGTACTCTTTTTATCTTTCACACAAACACAGCTGATCGCTAATTAAGTAGTAAGCGATATTGTATATTATCAGATGTCATAGCAATATTCGAAGCTTTAACATTTGTTTGCTTTTTTTTGTTAAATGCACAGCCAATATTATACAATAGTGGCAATTTGCAATATTTCAATGATTATTAAATTTGTATTCTTCAACAATACAGTAGAAATACACATTATCGACGATCATTATTTGATTATCTACAAGAGAAAATAGTAATGCTTTTAAGAAGTTTTATCGATAGAAAACGTTAATAAAGTACATTTTTTTCAATGCTGTTGCTGACCAGATTTTTACTAATATCGATGCCAAAATATAAGGTAGGTGGCTATTTTTTGTTTTCAATAACTTTTGATAGAAACAAGATAGAGATGTGCAGTTTTCAGCATTGAAAAGAAAATTAATTATTTTCTGTTTCCAATGTTGAAAATCGCACATCTCTATCTTGTTTCTATCAAAAGTTATTGAAAAACTAGCCACCTGCTTTATATTTTGGCGTCGATATTAGTACCTACCAAAAGGTTATCAATATATGTCATTTTTTTATAGTTATAAAAATATGACACAGATATGTAAAGACCTTTTCGTATGAATGTTGTAAATTCACACATACCTGAATGAATTATATATAACTAGTAATCGAAAGAAACAATAATTCAAAAAAACAAACAACTAGAAATTTGTTTTTTATGCTTTAGAACTGCAAATAACAATTGAGCAGATACATAGTTGAATCTTAAAAGACTTTTTTTTATTCTTAAAATGGAGGTGTTTGTGTTGATAAGTAAAAAGATGGGACATATTCGAGTCAAAAGAAAGCTCTCATCGCCAAACTAACGAGGTTAAAATATTAGCTACCATTGGCTTGCCTAGAGAGAGATATTCGATTTTTACTATATTTACAGTATATGTAGGATGTCCACAATTGAAAATTTCAGTAGAATTTATTTTTCTTTTTTCGTAACGGTTAGATAGAGCTCGTCAAGTTGCATTAGAAAAAGTATGTTTCAAATTTTTAAAAAGAGATTTAAAAAAATTTTCCGAAGGATAGGAATTTTAGATATATTTTCCTTTATATTAGAAAATAACCGCAACTTGGACTCTTCGTCGAAAATTTTTTAAAAATCTCTTTTTAAAAATTTGAAACATACTTTTTCTAATGCAACTCGACGAGCTCTATTCAACCGTCACGAAAAAAGAAAAATAAATTCTACTGAAATTTTCAATTGTGGACATCCTACATATACTGTAAATATAGTAAAAATCGAATATCTCTCTCTAGGCAAGCCACTGGCAGCTAATATTTTAACCTCGTTAGTTTGGCGATGAGAGCTTTCTTTTGACTCGAATATGTCCCATCTTTTTACTTATCAACACAAACACCTCCGTTGTTAGAACTAGCAGACTTCATTCTATTAAGTGTATTCAACATATGTCTAAGAGGACATGATTCAATTAGTTACTATGAATTTTATTGGAGTTTGGACGAATATTGAATAGTCAATAAGTGTTCGCATACATTTCTGCATGATCTATTCATATAAATAATAGTTGAGTATAACCAGCGGATATTATCAACATAGTCTACTAGAGCATATTACGGAAATGAGCGATTTCATCGAATATTGTGTATTTATAATAGTATGATGAAACTGACTAGAGCTCATGTGAACCACAGGTGATTGTGTTAAGCATTATTTTCATGTTTTTGTTTATTGATTAATTATAAAAGAAAAAATACAAAAAGCAAAAAAAAAATTGAAGAAAAATAATTCGACGCAGAATTATATTGTATTGGATTCTGTGCAATAAAATTAGCTGCTTCTTTCAATAATGTTAAATCAGTATTATTGGAAAGATTCATTTGAGTAAGTAATAATTGATAAAGTTTTATTGCTTCATTCGTATTACCTAATTGAGTATTAGCTCGAGCCATACCAACAATATTAATAACTCGGTTAGGTGCTGCTTCATTAGCTTTTTTATAAAGAATTAATGCTTGTGATGGAAAGTCAACAATAGATATTTGTCTACTCTTTAATGTATAATTTTCATTAATTAATCCTTGTTCAAATTGTCTATGAATAAGTAATAGATGTACTGCAAGTAATTCTGATGAATTTATAAATATTAAAGATGGACTATTAGTACCAGGAATAAGAGTTAATTCACGTTTAACAGCATTATTTAATTCATTCAAACATTCTTGCCATGATTGATTTATATAATAACGAATTCCACGAATTTGAGATATCATTATTGATATACTAATTGATACATATGGATTTAATGAAGCAGTTCTATTAGAAAGATTATTTAAACGAGTAAGATGTTCATCTATTATGAATATATTATTGCTATTATTAACATTAATTAATAATCGAAGAAGACATTCACCTAAACAATCATAAGAATAGCAAAGAAAAAAAAAATATATATATATATGTATAATCATTCGTTCTTACTAAATCGAAATCCTGCTTCACTCCATATTGGATACCATTGTGTAGTATTTTCATCTAATAACACCATTGTTTGTGTTCCATTAATTGCTAATAATTGTTGTATTTTATTTAGAAATTCCGATTTATAAGGAAACCAATAAAATAATTCAATAATCATACGAGTTTGTGTTCGATAAGCAAATGATAAATATTGATTTAATGTTTGATTAGATTGATAATAAGCAAAATATAAATCTCGAAGTAGATCAAGACTACCTAACCAATTACCTGTTTGTAAACGTGAATATGATAACGATTCCATAGAATAAGCTCGATTTACTACATCACATTGAATAAGTAATTTTTGTTGAGTAGTATTCAATAAATTCCATATAGATTCAAGTTGAATTGAAGAAATTGATAAATTAGAAACTAATAATTTCTTTGTACATAATCTTAAACTAACAATAATACTTTGTTCATTAGCTGATAAAGAACGATTCCATGAACCTAATGAAAAAAAAAAACTGTTAGCGTAATCCCCTCAAAACTCATCTTCTCTTCTCTATATTAGTGTATATTTCTTCATAATTGCTTACTTTACAGTATAGAACTTCAACAAGGAAATCCTTTATATATACTCTAATAAGATGTTAGTTTTACATGATTTCCGATAGAACGTCACGATCTCTGATGGATAATTAATTAACTAGACAGTTATTATTATTATCGTTTTTTAAAAAGAAGATGGGTGGGTAGATAAAAATGAAAAATTTTTCGGTGGTTTTCATGCTAAGTCTAACGAAGCAAAGTTGACAAAAGATGCAGTTTTTCCAAAAAAAAAAACTTTTTTGAGTTATTTTTTTCCGGCAGCCTAGGCCTATAAACAGTTCTCTTTCTAGCAACGCAAAAACTAAGTCTCTATCGCATTCTGTTCTCGAGATAGAGACTTTTTCCCAGGAGCTATCGAACAAGAAAAAGAAAAAGATCTTGATTCATAGGTTTTTGAGCATGTTGATCATCGAGGCGATGTTTATCTTCGATGATCTTGCCCAATAAAGGTTTTAATGTAAATGTTTCAAAGCATTAAAAAGTTAGAATTCAACGCTTGAAACATTTCTTCACTTTTATGATGTTCTGTATCGACAAGTTACTTGAAAAGAGCTTGTGATCTTTTATTTATATAAAAAAAAAACTTCTGAGAAGAACGCAAAACCAACCTTTTAGAAAACACTACCGGTATTTGATTCGATACTTTCATTTTTTAATTCTGGCTCACCTCAGATCGAACAAAATTCAAATCCTCGAACAGTTGGTCATCAAAGTTTCAGTTAAATAAAAATCGCCTCGATGATTAGCATGCTCAAAAATCTATGAATCAAGATCTTTCTCTTTTTCTTCGCAAGAATTTTTCTTGTTCCCTAGCTTCTGAAGAAAAGTCTCTATTTCGAAAACGGAAACCGATAAAGACTCAGTTTTTGTATTGCTAAAAAGAAGACTGTTTATAGGCCTAGACTGCTGAGAAAAACCTTAAAAAAAATTTTTTTTTTGGACAAACTGCCTGTTTTTCCAGCTTTGCTTCGCTAGAGTTAGCATGGAAAGCACCAAAAAATTTTTCATTTTTACATGGGTTTGTGTCTGTCTTCTTTCGAATGCTGAAAACCACAGATCTCCAGCTCTTTTTGTTAAAAAGTTATAAGCACTCTACCCATCCATGTTCTTTTTAGAAAACGATAATAGTTAATTAGTTATGTCTGCCACAGTCTGTGGAGAGGGAGTGGATTCAAATTTCTACACTACTTTTAGATTGTGTTTCATAAAAATATTATGAAACTAAAAATAAATAGAATAAAATATTCTTCACCTATTCGAATCCAAATATGAGAAGGTATATGTTGTGCATGTGATGATGTTGTTACAATTTTTCCATATCGATCGGCATAATCTTGAGCTTGTTGAGATATATTCACTAGAACAACATCATAAGCATGTATAAGATAATGAAGTGCACCTGAATGATTTGATTCATTTTTTAATACATCTTCTAATATATTTCTTGCTTCTATCATTCCTGGTGGTTCTATTTGTGATTGATTTTGAATTTGTTTAGCAACATTAAGAAGTGAAAGACCCAATAAAACACGAATATCAGTTTCATTTGAATGATTTTGAGATAAATTACGAATCGATAATAGAAATGCATCTTCACCAGCAGTTATATTTGGTTTATAAGCATACCATTGATAAACTGTTGAGAGAAGTTCTTCTTGAAAACTTGTCCTACTTAACTTTCGAGTTGTATTGTATATTGCTTGACCACAATCCAAATCAGTATATGACCATAGTGCTTGTTTACAACTAATTAAAAGAAGAAAAAGAAAAAGTATTTTTATATGAATCTGACACAAAACTAATTAATATACCTAAGCATTTTACCAATGTAAGCTTCAATAAATGTAGGAGTAGTATTAATAGCTAAATCGAAAGCTTCTTTAGCTTCATCATACATAAATGAATGAAGACAAAGATATCCAATAGTAAAATGACGATGAGCAAGTGAAGATCGATTGAGTATAAGACCAAGTGGTCGTTGAATATCACCCAATTGTAAATATGTTTCCCATGGAAGAATATCATCTGTTGTATTCCATGATTGACTATGAATTGTTTTACCAAATATAAGAAAAATAAAGCAAATTACAAAATTCATTTCTTTTCGTTGAGACATTTTGCAACAAAAATATTATATCTATATGTACTCATCAGTTACAGCAATAACGAAGAAAAAATATATGTATATATCATAAAAACAAACATTTATTGAGTTTTATGTAGGACATGTCAAGTCGTTTATTAAACAATTGACTGTGAAAAGCGTGTTTTTATCATTAGATCTATATAACTGTACAAATATATATTCACTGAATCGGTGTAAATCTTACATGTTATTCATATAAAATAACATAATGATGAGGCAAAAATATTATTTTATTCTTGTTTTTGAGAATATCTACTTTTAATTTATGAAAATCAGAATTTTATATTGAAGACTTTCGCTATACGTAAATAATAATATGTCTAACAAGAAAAGTCTTTCAACTGATAAATCACTTTTAAGTCGAGACTATGTAACTTCAAATGAACTATGAATATCCTGAATAGAGTTTGCATCCTTAGCTTATTACTACGAAGATATTGTATTTTTTGTTTTTTGAATGAACGCCGTGGTTTCCTTCCGGGAAAACTAATTTTCGAATTTCACTTTGAAAATTTGTACAGAGACATATCATAACAACAATAGTTTATTGTGAAAATTTCAAATCTTTTAATTTGTTTGTATCTTGGAATAAGAATATTGAATCTTCTAGTTTATATGAGCAAATGTAAAAGACATACTTTTACCATAGCTATATCTTACATAAGGAGAAACAGTTGCCTTTATAAGATCTCAAATATATTGAATATTCATGAATAAAAAAAAAATTTATTAATTTTAAAAGTTGAATTTATGTAATTATGAATTAAGTGTGAATTAAATTCATTCGTTCAAGACATTTAAGTATTTTTTGATCAAACCATTTTTTATATGGCATAGCTTTTAACCATTTAATAGGTAATGTTTTATAACCATATCTTGCTCCATACATAGTACCACAAACAGCTCCATTAGTATCTGCATCACCTCCACATCGAATTAAATTATTAAGTGTTTCTTCAAATGAATATTTCGATCTTAAACCATAAAAACCTGATGCTAAACATTTATATGTAAAACCAATACTATTCGGTTTATCTAATTCTAATTCTTCTAAAGTACGAGATTGATCTGTATACCATAAAAATAATTTACAATGTTCTGATGAAAGATTATTATCAAGTATATGAATTGTTTCATCTTGAACATATTTAATAAGTTGTTCAATTTCATTATCATGAAATTTCTTTTTTATAAGATGAGCAATAGTCAAACAAATAGCTAAACATGACGCAATACATCGAGGATCAAAATGTGTAGTTTTACACATTAATATAGTTGTTGATTTAACCTATTCAAAATAGAATATGATATTAAGTAAGTTTTCCAAAGGAATATATTTCTTTTTTTTTGTTTTTTGATTACCTTTTCTAAATCATTATAATGAACAAAAGCTGATGCCGAACATCGCATTACAGCTCCATTTGGTGCTGCTTGACAATTATTTTGTTTCCATACCATTTCACTTATCCTGAGTGGATCATTAAGATATCCATCACTGTAAACTACCTATTACAAATGATAGATAGAATAATTTGATAAAAACAATAAGAATAACACTTTAAACAAGAATATATTACTTTCTGTACATTAGCTCCTAATCCCATTCCAGCAAAATCATCTAATTCTATAAAACCATGTTCAATCCATCTCTTTAATTTCTTAGCAAATATTTTTTCATTACCATTGTCTTCAATTAATGTTTCTAGAATTAATATCCATTGATCAGTATCATCAGTCCAATCACCTCGTTTCCATCGACTAGAGTGTGCAGTAGTAATATAGTTAGGAAATGGAATTAATTTTGAAGTATCTGGATAATTACGTCGAATTTTTTCACGTGTTTCAAATTCAGTCGATAGACCATAAGCATCTCCAAGAGCTTGTCCATAAGCACAACCAAGAAGACGATCAATCATTTCATTATCATTTGGATTAGTGAATAAAAATTCAAGTAGATCAGGCTCATTAGGAATGTAACTTACATTTGGATTAATTCCATCTTTAAAATCACTATCGAATAAATATAAAACTATGGAAAATTAGACTGTATTTGATTAGTATAAAAAAAGCCAATATGACATTTAATCTCGTTATAAAAAAAATGGGTGAAAATAAAAGATAGTTTTTCTATACCTTGTATGCATTACTTCCGTTCTATGTTTTCCAGACGAACCACAACAATTACCCATGGCAAGCTTTACTGAACAAAAACAAAACACTGACTTGGATACAACACGACATCTATTCAAGGTTTTTTATATGTACCTGAGTAAAAAAAGTGTTGCTGCAAAAGAAAAATACACGATAAGATCTAGAAATATATTACATGTTAAAGTCAACAATTAATATTTATTATTGAGACACATACTGAATTAAATCGAAAGATGAATACTCATATTTCTCCCAATTCTTTACTATTGACAATCCCATTTCGGGTTTAGTAGGAAGAAAAATAAAGAAATTCTGTTGAAAAACAAAATAAAAGAACAAAACGAATGACAAGTCTCATGTAATATTTAAATGAAATTCCTCTCGAACACATTTTATGCGTATTTGAATCGATTTCAAAGAACAAAAAAACAAAACCATGAGTTCGACTATTCTTGATTGTTTAGTGTTGAGTAAGAAAGTCTTCCTACAATTTTTTTCGATACTAAGCATTTAATTCGAATTCAAATGGTAGTTTGAATAACCAATAGCGTTCTCTATCAAATACATTTCATAGATGGTCTATGAGAGAAAGATTTCTGAAAAACCCAACATAATGATTTTCAGGTTCCAGAAAACTGTATTGAGAAAAAGTCGTAGGAAATATGGCAATCTATTTTTCACATAGTTTTATAGGACAAACCTATAGTGTTTGGTTTATTTGGTCTTTGAATTCGACAGTCAACATTTGCGAATGCTGTATAACCTGTTGACAGGTAACACCAATGTGGGGATTGGGGTGTAACATCCCTCCAATCAAGAACAATTTTTATTTTTTTGTTTTAGTATAGCTGAAATCTTCTTTTTGTATTGTGTTAGAAGAAGGAGATTCTCCCTTTGCAAAAAATCATGATATTCTCTTCCCTTCCCGCACAATGTTGGCGACTTTGGGTAATGCAATTATCCATTTTTTGACCTTTGAATTGTTATTTAGAGTTGAAATTTATACTGCAGCAAACTATGTAAAAGTTCCAGTCAATTGATGATTTGTTATTTTTCAAAAGATTTTGAATTTATATTTTAATTTACAAACAATCCTTTTTTAATCTTTATTAAAAATAAATTTTAACAAAATTGTTGTGGAGGAGCATGAATAGGTATTTGTCCAAATTCAAATGTATCGCTTTCATAAGCAGCACGTTCTTCATCAAGAAGTAGATCATGTGGAGTATAATGTGTTGTTTTTGTTGTTTGTGTTTGAGAAATAACATTCGAAATTTTATTATCATTAATATCTGTCATTTCAATATCTGTTGCAAATATTTTCGATGGTTGATGATTACTTGCTATATATTGATCAATAAATGGTTTCTAATATTTATTAAAATAAAAATTTATAAAACAAACAAAAAAAGTTAAAAGATAATCTAATACATACAAATAATTTAAGTGTATCAAGATCAAGATTCACTAATCCAAGAAGTTGACGTTCAGTATTTTCCCAATATTCTGAATAAGTTTTTTTCTAAAAAAATAATTCATATCTATAATTTGAAATTTAATTCATTTTTTTTTCACTAACATAGATATGTTGTTGATTTTGATTTGTCATCCATCGATATGCCCATTTAATTTCTTCAAATGATTGATCATACCAACCTAAAAAGAGAAATTTTACAATCGAAAACAAAAAATTAAACTAAATTTTAAAGAATTTCTTTACCTTCTAACGGTTGTCCACCAGGAAATAATGATCTTGATGTAAATCGCCAAAAATCAATTGATTTTTGCCATACTCTGGCTTCTGCTCGCAATTCACCTCTATTGACAAAGATAGTTTATACGAAAAAAATTGTTAGCGTAATCCTTGCAGGATTAAATAAAATATGAAACACAATATAACTGCTGTTCCTAATCATATACAGATTATTTTATTCTATCTATTTTGGAATACATATCTTCATCATCCTTTTAGTTAATCTTCCAGAAATGCGATAAAGAAGTAGTTCATATACTATAATGAGACATTATTGATATATGGTTTGTAATTGTATGTCAGCAACGCATGTCATGGTCCGTAGTGCGATAGAGAATGTTGCCAAAGCGTCTGTCACAAGCAGGAAGCTGCGAGTCCACGTTTTTATGGATCCAAACCCGAGATTTTTTCTATTAATACCTGGCACCCTTCGTGTACATGAACAAGTAAAGGATCAATGTTTTAACTATTTATTCGCTAATTTCAGAAAAAAACTCAATGTACAGTTAAGTCTTGTTTCTGTATTTCTCATCTGGAGAGCAGGAAATCGACATAAGCGTTGGACTCGGATCCACACTTTCTAGTTGCAGGAGGACGCAGCGTTGCGAATGTGTCGATCACGGTTTGTGATGCTTTTAGATTGTATTTCACTATAATTCAAAATAGAATTACTTACAAGATATCTAGTGCTTTTTCTTTATTTGCAAAATTTTCACTGATCCATGTTATAATTTGAGTCTTTTTCGAATTCTGTTGTTGAGATGCAAATGTATTTTCGACATTATGATTTATATGACCCTGATAAGCATAGAGTAGATATTGTCTTGTCTGAAGCATGTTGAAGTTGTTGGACTATAACTTACGAAAGATGGTGCTCTATAATTATAGTTTGGATTGAATGTTGGACGAGGAGGACGAAAACGATGTGATGCACCTAATAGAGTAAAAAAAAGAAAGAAGAAGTCGTGTAACTTAGATAAATATTTAAGATATACCATGTGGATTAAATGCGTGTGACTCTTCGATATTTACATGTGGCAATCGACATCGATTTCCGTATCGACAATTACCGCGTAAATAATATTGACAAACAGACATTTTGATTCTATTACACTTAGATAAATCTACAAAATATTAAATAGAAATGAATCATTTATGTCAGAATAGATATTTTATATTTAGTCTTATCAAAAAATGAGAACAAAATTTTTAGCATTACAAATAAATTCTAATATAAATTGAAGACAATGCGTACGCCTCATTCAGAAATCGATATTATCGATCTTCTATGGCGTTAATACAATACAATGTTTATATGGAAAATTTCTCTTTCCTTCTTCATCTCTTTTAATTCCACTAATATATGAAATACTCCTCTTATTGAGGTTTTCTATAGAAAAAAAAGTGGTATATTTAGAATTTGCATAAAAAACTGAGATGATCCATGCTTTGACAACTTTTCTAGTCCTACTCAGGATTACATCAAAAAATAAAGCTGTTTAAGATTTTATGATACATATAGATCTAGTTAATTGTATATGCTGATTTTAAATATATCATTTTTTTTTAATACGAAGACTGACTATTGTGACTAAATATTTCATCAAAAATGGCAATCATGAACATTTTACTTTTAACTGAAGTCTCTTCTTCATAAATTAAGCTCGACATAGTAATATCATTCAAAGTGGATTGTTGCTGTCACAGCTCAATAGTAAGACAATTTCGTCATAGATATTTTCCTATTATACATTCAAGTGAACAATATCATCTATATGCTATGCGATAGTGAAAAGAAAGAATTTTAATTAGTCAAATTAAAGAAGATGAAGAAGGAAGAGAAATTTCCCATATAAATACTTTATTGCATTACTCTATAGGAGAATAAAAGCAAACACTTTCTAATCTCATGGAGACCTACTTATAGCCAAAAGATGAAATCGAATACTCGAGAATCAGTTGAAGTACTTCCCTCGTTCCATAAATTCGTATTGTAGAAGATCACGACTATCGTTTTGAAAACACTGAGTATCCATATTTTCGGACATCCCGATTGCATTTCAGATCCAAAATTAATCCGCCAGGCTCTATATACATCATAAAACACGAAAAAAAATACAACAAAGTAACCACATTGTCCATCTTTTCATCGAAGAGAAAGAAGTTTCTTTTTTTTTTCTTTGTCCATAATGAAAACTAAAATTATTATTATTGAGCAATAGATTTTACACGACATTAAACTAATGTTAATCAAAAAAAAAAAAAAAAAAAAAAAACTTTCAAATACAACATCATTTAGACATAAGTGGCATTTTTTTTTTCATGTTACGAATTTGTTAAAGATTTTATGTATACAAAAATAGATAATTTAAAAAGAAATGCAATTATTTTAATTTTGGTTTTTGTTTTTATATATGTGGAATTTACAGACCATTGTATTTTATGATTTAATATGATTAAGTGCATGAAAAACCCAATCAACACGTGTTTTAACACTTGATCGATATGAATCAAGTAGAACCTGTTCAAATCTATCACATGCTTCTTGTTCATTAGCTCCAATATCAATAGCAAATGTTTGTCGAAGATAAGCCATATCAGCTTCACTATTAAGTTCAGTTAAATCACAATTCATCATTAATTTAAATAAACAAACAATTTGACGATATTGACGACGAAGTATTCGATAACCTTTAATACATAATTTTTTAAAACTAAAAATAATAAACAAAAATAAGTATTTATTTTATAGATAATATATTTTAAGAAGTTAGTCAAGAATAGTCTGAAAATATTTGCAAGATGTATAAGATTTGTGAAGTAGGAAATTTTTTGCTTTTAAATCAATATAGAATTTTATCTAATTTTTCCTTTATAGAAAGGTGAATATATGATTCAAAGCACAATAAACATCGAATTTGCAACGACAAATTTGATTTCAGAGTATTTCGATCTGCCATGAAATTTTCAGGTCAAAAGAATGTTTCCGTGACGACATAACCAGCATTCAATGTCTTGGTGTATACGTGCTTCTGTTTTAGGGACTTTTTCATATTTCACTCGAGTTTATCTAATGCACGGTGTTCGAACTTCAAAAACAGTTTAACACTTACAAGAGAAGGTTTCGAGATAATTAAAAACTTTTGAGCCAAGTTACACTAGAATACCCTCCAAAGATTTCGTATTGGCATTAAGGTTTGATCGATATATTGACTTTTTTTGATAAATTTTTCCTGTATGAATCCAATTTTTCGATAAAATTCTATTGTGGAATTTTGTCTAGATGCAGCTCTCAGTGAGACTATCTTATGCACAAAATTTTAGAAGTTCTCGATCGAGTGCCTCTAAGATATGCAACTTCTAAAATTTTGTGCATAAGCTATTCTCACTGAGACCTTCATCCGAACAAAGAGAATTTAATCGAAAAATTGAGTCCCTACAGGAAAAATCCACTACAAAGCCAATATCTTGACCGAATCTTAACGTCAACAGGAAGGTATTCTAGTCTATCGAGTCCGAGCACTCGAGCTCGGCACATATCTACTTAGGATCGTTCCCTTGTAAGTTGTCACTGCAGAAAGTTGGTATATTTTTTTTTGCATACGACTTATGCATTATTATATTTCATTATGATCGAAACTTTTTATTCTCTTTCAACTCGTAAGATTATGACATACTTTTTAAATTCACGTGTTTCAATTGGATTTTTTTCTGTACTATTATTAGTAATAACTCGAACAAAATCATCAATAAGTACTAATTGTGTACGTTCACGACGTATACCATATTTCATTTTAAAATTTCCCAATATATGTCCAAAATCAATATGAAATAACTAAAATTTTCAACAAAAAAACTACAATTAAATATTATATTTGAAAATCTTTTATACATACTTGACCACGTTCATTAACCATAATATTATCTGGATGACGATCAGCAACACCAAGAACATATGTTATAACACAATAACCAGCACATGATCTTGTAAATAAATCAATTGCACTTTTTAATCTAATTTAAAAAAATGTAGTTATTTGTTTTTTTTTGTTTTCTTTCAAATAAATGAATATTACTTTTCAGCACCGGGATTATTTTTTGCAATCCATCGATAAAGTGCACTAGCATCAAATTGAAATTGTCCTTTTAAACCACCTAATTTTTGTATATTCATTATTGTTTTAGCATTTTTTACAACTTCAATTAAACCCGAACAATAATCAGTAGCTAAACATCCATAAGGTAAAAGACTAAAAAAAAAATTAATTTAATAATCAATTTTCTTGTTTTTTTTTTCATCAATAAACAAAAAATATTCAAACCTTAAATCAAGTCCATCAGCTTTCCAAATAATATCAATCATTTGTATAAATTGTAATGCTAACATATCTTGTCGAAGATCTATAAATTTAAATTTTATATAATAAAGAAAATTATATTTTAAATTCAAAATTTTTTTACCATCTCCATTTTTAAAAATAAGATCAAATGTTGGAAAATAATGTTCAGCATATTCAGAACCATTTGTCCAACGTAACCATAATGGTCGTCGAGCTGATGACATTATTCGACAGTGATCTAGACTATAAAACAATACACTCTGTTATAGCCTCTGAATAACATCTGTAAAAGATGTTTAATTTTCTACTCATTCTTCTTAGATTGTATTTTACAAAAAAAAAAAAAGAATTATCTCTTACACAAGTAGACCAAGTTCACTACTATAATCAACAGGTGATCGAAAATATTGAAGATTTTGAGGATATCCTTCCCGTGTAAGTATATGAGCAAGATAACCTTTCTAAATAAAGAAAAATTTCTATATATATGATTGTTATTTATTATTTAATAACTAACTTGATTATATAATTCATCATGTGTACTATTTTGTATCAATTCAGCAATATATATTAATTTATCTACAGAACGTACTTGTCGTCCAAGATCTTCAGCATATTCACCACAATAACGTAAATATGCTTCTAATAAAAGACCATATCGTACTTTACATTGTGGATTTTTTAATTCAACTCTAAAATTTAATTTAATTAATATATATATATGAATAATTAATTTACCTTGAATGCCAATAGAAATAATGACCAACTTGTTGATTTAATAATGAACGTTTAAGTAAAAATCTTGCTAAAGCACTATCATGATATGGTTCATTTTTAACAGCCTAAAGAGAGAAAAAAAAATCTTTTAGTTCTTTTTCCAGTCAAATTCGTTTTCTGAAGTAAAGACAATACAGTACAATATTTCTCATGAAAAAAGATCTTGTTCAACTATCGTGGAGTCTATATGTTTGTAGTAATGATTTTCATATTCTTACCTGGGTAGGTGAGATTAGAATGTAAACAATTTATTAAGATATAGATGAAGGGATAACATCAATTATCATATACTCTATATCATGTTTTCGATAGAAGATCAATTCCTATATATATATGATGGTAGGCCATATAATTCGATGCAAATACATCATCGGATGACAGCAAAAGGTGAAGCGGAGAAATCCAATTGATCAACAAATAATAATATATAGTGGAAAAAATGAAAATACCTGTTATAGGAAAAATCCAAAAATATGTGTCACATATGGTAAAAGATGACTCATGACAGAACGCAAGGAAAAAGAATAGTACAACAACAAAAAAACAACAAGTGTGCTGTGAGTAAACCTCTATTGATCAATGACAACACATCGTAACAATATAAATATCATTACTACAAACCAGAGATGTACCATGACGGCATTCTTTTTTGAATATTATCGTAGCGCAGGAGATATTTAAAAAATACTATCGCGGCCGCGATGGACATCTACGCTATATACACATATACTCAATGATGCTCTTTGTCGAGAATAGAGTTCGTTGGGTCCAAACTGACTTTCAATGAAAAATCGTTCCGAAGATACGAAATTTATTTTTCCGGCTTTTTGTATTTGGTGACTAGTGCACTGCACACATTTCTCAGATGACTAGGGTATATTAGGTGTAAAACTTCTGGACTCGGTTGTCGGCTATTTACTTGTACAATTTGTAATATAACAGGCAGAAGTCGATCATCATCAATACGTGTATCAAGTAGACGAACAGCTGAAAATCGAACAAATGGATCAGGATAATCAACATCTAATAATTCAAGTGCGGTCATTAATGGATCAATATTTTTTGTTGGCCAATTTTCAACAATTTTATAAGCCTTCAAAAAAAAACAAAAGAATGATTTAACAATAATTAAAAATTTTTGTTTTATGAATTTTTATACTTCAAGAACATCATCACGATTCGACCATTTAACGCATTTAAGCCAACGTGGTAATGATTCTGGTACACGCATACATTCATAACTATGAAAATAATATTTCATATTTAAATATATTTTCAAAAGAAGAAGAAAAAACAAAATCCACCGTCTATCCCAAAGTTCAACTCGACTTTGTTCAGTTAATTCAAATTCAATTGAACGAAGCCAATCATAAAAATCTGAATGAACAATATTTTCTCCAGTTTCTTGTAACTAAATGTACAAAAAACAAAAAAATAAACAATCAATGAAATTACTTTTCATATTATTTAATTAATCTTACATCATCTTGGAATGCACATGAACGTAAAAGGTGTTCATTTTTTGTTTGTGCTTGCATAGCTAAACCATTACGTGGTGATAATGTTGCTATTTGATATTTATAACTAGGAAATTCTAATTCAATTGTTGGATATGATCGATCTGGATTTATACCTAATAGAAAAATGAACTTTATAGATATGATATTCATTATTCAAGATTATTTTAATTAAAAACAAAAAATTCTATTATGAAACATCTTACAAACCAGCTAAAGCTCTTTCATTAAAACCATACATAGATGAAATTATTTTATTATTATTCATTTCTGTTGGCCAAAATCGTACTTTTTGTCTTCCTTGTATAAGACAACTATTATGATTAAATACATTGAGATTCGCCCATCCAATCCAGATCCATTCATCCTAAACAAAACAAATCTTTTTACATTTATTTATTTTAATTCTCAAAAGACAAAAAAATTCTTACAGAAATTAATAATGATGTTCGTCGTCGATGAAAATGTATTGAACAACATAATTTACTAGCTGGTGGTAAATTAACTAATGTTATATCAAATTTTATTTCTTGTTGCCAATCAGGATTTAATGTATCAACTGAACGACTTTCCATAATTGATCCAGAAAATAATGGTTGTGTACCATGATATAATCCAATTATAATTTTAACCTTAAAATTTAAAATAAAATATCATTTTAATATTTATCAAAAACACAAAAGAAAAAAAAAATAATTATTTACTTCATCAAATTCACCAGCTGGAATTAATTGACCAGATAAAATACGTAGAGAAAAATATTTGCAAGCTATTTCTTTTTCATTCCATACTTGACGAATTTCATTACTTCGTCCACCGAATTCTTTAATTAAAAATAAAAAAACATGAAATTCAAATGAACAAAAAAAAAAAAAGACGAAAAGAATTTACTTTGTGGTTTTTTTCGTTCTTCTTCTTGTTTAATAGCTTCCTGAATCATTGCTATACATCGTTTTTTACCATTACCAGTTGTGCTTTCAATATTAATTAATTTAAAATATAATGTTTTATCGAGACGAAGACATGTTTGAACATACTAAATGCAATAAAATTTCTTTTTTGTATACTCAAAAAGTGAGTACACTATAGAATCGGTCAGGGTGTCCGGTCGGCCGTTCGTTTACACGATAACTTTTGAAAGGAGAGTCCGATCGCGATGAAATTTTCTACACAGTTTAGTCTCAGCAATATCTCGGTCGAGAGAAGGAGATGAGAAGGATTGGCCAAGCCGTTCCTGAGTTATTGCAAAAATAGTCATTTTTCCCTATGGCTTCCTATGCGAAAATCGACCTATCCCCGCTTTCGTAAAAAACTTTTCCTATCCTAAACAAATAAAACCCCAACTATTATATACCATTCGATAGAGAATTTCACGAGCTACAAAATGGTATATAAAACATAAAGAAGCAAGAAGATTAACTCACCTATTGCAAGGGTAATTAAACGGGAATTGGTTCTTTTTGTGTCCACACTCTAATTGAGCCACAATTCGAGCTCTGTCTTTCGATCACAGCGATGATAGTTCGAGGTTTTTTGGGTCGGAGAACTCCAATCTAAGCTCCGTCTGCATCGAAATCCTATTGGTTGAACAGTAACCAATAGAAATCAAGTTATCGGAAAAACGACTTCGTTAGGGTAAATCAAGGCGAAGAGTTCAAATCTGAGCTCTATTCACATCTAAATCCTATTGGTTGAGCAGCAGCCAATAGAAATCAAGTGTTTATAGAAAAGGTTTGCCAGGATAATTTTTACGTCCAGACATTCTAGGATGACTCATCTGTCTCATTCACTTTTTGAAGTACACATAACTCTCAGATTTAAATCCAAGGTTTCCACATTTATTTAGTAAATATTATTTATTTAATATGCAACATCAATAGCAGAGACCGAAATGGGCAGGGTAGGGTTAATTAGCATGTTGTATATACTTAATATCATTCAGTTCAATTGCTGTCGAAAGAATGTTTTTGGCAGCAAATCAAATTGTCAACCACAGAAGATCTAATGTAGGTCTAATATTCTTTCTTTTTCGGCCTTTGCTTAGTAGTAGACAAAAGTCTTGGCCAAGGTATCTGCTAGTGGTCTGAAAATTTATGTACATGCATTTCACAAATATTGTAGGCCATTGGTATTGCGGAGCTGTTATTCCTCTGAGTATTACAATCTAAAAAGGATTGCCTAAGAAATTTTTTGCGCTGTTTCTTACTAAGAGTAAAACTAATTCTTGATATTTTTACATGTAGCTGAAGTCCCATCTATGGTCTTTCTTCATCCAAAAGATAAGTTCATTTGCTGCTTCTGCATTCTTAAACTAACAAGATCATCATCTATATCTCATTTCTTGTTAATGCAAAATCTGCTTCTAAAACTTGTAGATAAAGCTTCTCAGTAAGTTTGAACTAGTTTCATTGAACTATCATGTTGAACTTCAATGAAATTAGTAATGTAGATAGCCGAAACATAGCATTACAAATCGAGAAGTCAGCTGAATAGAGCCAGTCGGCTCCGGACTTGATTGATTGAAATTTTTTAGATCCAAGATCAATCCGACAGAGTCTACAGCTAGCATAGAATACTCTTCTTTTCCAGAGTTATGAGACTGACAGCGAAAATAGATGCAATTCATCATAACTCTCTTTGTGATTAAGCAATAATAGAGCCACAATGCCAATAACCTACTTTCTTGGTGAAGTGCGTGTATCAGAGATGTTCATGGCGGCAGCCGCATCACAGCAGGCCTGAGCCTTGTCTCCTTTAAGACTGCGGTAGATTTCTAGCCGCGATGAACATTTCTGTCGTGTACACAAATCTTCAGCAGATACCCTGGCTAAGACTTTTGTCTACTACTATATAATCTAAAATTTGATAATGAAAAATACGAAGCAATTTTTACAATCATTTTCTTTTTTTTTTCTTTGTTACAAAATCTATTTAAATAATCAATCTTACACGTGATTGTATTAATGGCTTAGTACCAAATAGTCTTTCTTCACAGCCAAATGCTTGTAACCAGTAACGTGTTCTATATTCTTTAACAATTTTCATCCTTTCTTCATAAGCCATTGCTGGATTACTAGCAGATAATTTCGATAAGATCACATTTGCAACAATATCAATAGGTGAAGAATATAAACTACTTGAAAGATTAAAACATATAGGTGAAGTTGAATGACGTTCTTGTACTTGAACAAATACTGGACGAGTATCTTTTGAAAGAAAAAAAAAGAAAGTATTCAAATGAATATATTATTCTTGTTTTATTTTGTCTTTTTTTTTCGAATAGAAACCTGAAGTAAGACCAAATTGTTTTAATAAATTTTGTGATTTAACAAGATTCGATTGGTTCTCATCATTTTCTTGTGACGAATTTTGTTCTTGTAAACCATTTCGTTGTAAATCTCTTGCTGATTCTTGTGCAAGCATATCAGCTAAACGATTTAATAATGATCGAGCTTCACATGCTTCACGTTCTAATGTACTAGCAAAATCATCAAGTGGAAAACCGAGTAGAAGGCCTTTTCATAAAAATAAAAATTTTGTAATTAAGATTTTTTTTTTTTTTTTATAATTAAAACTTACTCATCAATGCTAAATCATCTTTTTCATCAAGAAAAGCATCATGTTCACGTAAACTCAGATATCCATAAAATAGACTAAAAATTTAAGGTAAACATTAAATACAACAAATCAACACATGTTGGATTATGAGTCATCTCTTCAACGTGTTTATGGCTGTGCATTTTATTTTTGTAGACTAATATTATATTGACTAAGGAATAGAGATAGAAAATTGTCTTTATAAGTTGACAAGGAAGTTATAGGAATCGAAATCACATGACTGTATGAATCTGTCAAAAATGAAAACATTAATATTTAGCAAAAAAAAACTTTGCTTCTAATGAGGGAACTACTCGGACTGATACTCGTCGTTTAAGCTGATATTGGGTTAATAAGGAAGTCTCAATAAGGCTGGAAGAACCCTAAAATTGTTCGTGTCTATAAGCTCCCGGAGTCAAGTTACGACCGCTTTACTGAATTTTCGAACCGGCTCTAGGTATTTAACGAAAAATGAAATAATGATATTTCGATTCGAAATTTCGGCTATAAATAGGTCAAAAGACTAGTAGAATTTCAGATTGAAATATCGTTATTTGATTTTTTTGGTAAATGGCTAAAGCTGAATCGAAAACTCAGTAAAACGGTCATAGGTCAGCTCTAGAGATCCATAGGCACGAACCATTTTAGAATTTTTCTAGTCTTACCGAGACCTTCTCGTGAACTTAATATGAGCTTAAATGACAGTTTTCACAATAGTCTCAACTAATATTATGTCAAAAGGCTCAAAGGAAAAAGTGTTGATCCAAAGATACCTATAAAAAATCATCTTTCATCTTAATGAGTTCTATACGATCAATGATCCGGACATCGTTCTTTTGAATGATGAAAACCGCATCTCTCTATCTCATTCCTATCAAAAATTATTCGAAAAATAGTAGCCTGCCTTTTATTTTGGATCGACTAATACTTGAAGTAGACATATCAAGTCCTACTATACTCTGACAGTATACATATAAATCAAGGAACAATAAGAATTAGTCAATAATTCATCTAGCGAGCGAATTTCGTCAACTGACAAACCTATCTCTATGTGAAGTATCAAGTCGAAATTCGAAAATCAATTTTCCTAAGACTACGACATTCATTTTAAAAAAATATTGTAAAAGTGCAGTATTTCCGCAACGATAAGCTAATGACACGAATTCTTTTCAGAGTATATTCATAGCTCATTAGGATCGATATGATACACATAATCTCAACTCAAAATCGATTTATCAGTTACAGTATATGTTAGTCAACGGTTCAGTTTCAGTTAGTGAATGGATGAGAGTTATTGCTGTGGGGAAAATTTTAGACCGTTCAGGATTTTTATCTACACAATAAGCTTAAACGGAGATTATCAATCAGATGAATCAATTAAAGAGATTAATTTATGAAATAAAATGAATTTTTTTGTTTCTTAATTTGACTAACAAATAAAAAAAAACAAATCTTCGATTCTTACTTCAATTCATTAAGTTTAATTTGTTCATCATATAATGGAATAATTTGTGCACTTGATATAACTGATTCTAAATAATAATTTTTTTGATCATGAACTAATTCATTAAATGGTGTTTGTCGTTTAACACATGATAATGTATTTTGTTTTATTTTCTCTAATGTCATATCCCTAGATTAAAAATATTCATAACAATTTTTATGAAAAATAAAATATAAACATTAAGAAAAATTTACTCTTCACATTCTACAACAATGACACAACCATTTGAAAGTAAAATATCAAGTAGAATTTTCTTTACCATTGACATCTGAAAGTTATAGAATTATACTAAATAAAAATTAAAATATTATTAATATAATTTCTGGTGTCTGTGTTTTTCAAATTAAATAAAAGTATCATGGAGATTCTTTTTTTTATTTCACAATTATTCAAATTGTCTTTGTTTTTCTATTCATTTTGGTAAAGATGTTGTTGAATTATTATCACTATTTTTATTTGTATTATGATTCTGTTTCATTTCGGTTGCTCGAACATGTGCAAATAGACCTGAACCACCAAGTACAAATAAATTTGATATCCACCAAAGTGTTGTTTTAGTCTTTAAAAGAACAAATCAAATAAATTTTTTTCCTTTTTCTTTTTTTTTTAAACAATTAAATTCTTACTTCACTATAAATAACAACAGCAAGTAATGTTTGTACATAAGACTTTGCTGTACCTGATACATTATGTGTTAATGGACTTGTCATTTGTATTTGATAACCAGTAACATAACCCATTGAAAAACCAAGTAAACCAGCCATTGACATTGCAAACCAAAATGGTAAATTAAATATTTTAGAATAATTTATAACAATTGATAATTCACCAAAAATTATCATTAAAGGAAGAAATAAAATACATGCATTAAAATTATTATATAAACATAAACGCCAAACATTATTATCAACACATGGTAAACATCGTGATGTATAAATAGCATTTAAAGCAACAAATACACTTGATGCTACACCACAAAATGCACCAGACATTGACAAAGTACCTAAGAATAAAAATTCAACGATCAGTTTTTTTGTATTTAACTTCAAAAATTTTTATATCAAGATAAAGATGATTAGAAGGTTTTTCACTACAATATAGAATTATATGTAGTCTTGTAGAGAAAAACTTCTTCTATTAAACGGTGTATCCATTATCAGGTTCTACAGCATGTCGATAGATGGCGCCACCGATTGACATGTCAGCAATATGCTGTAGAATCTGATAATGCATATAGTATTAGATAGAAGAAGACTAAATATATTGCTTTTTCCTAGTCAAAAATCATCGAACAACATATAGCTTTTTATGTCTGTTTGTAAGAGTTCAATGAAGAACTGTAAATTCAATGGTCAAGTTATTTCACATTATATATACATGCATTCAATCGAAAGTTAATTTTCATATGGCATTAAGGTTATGAACTTTGTTTTTCTGCGCTAGCAATTTTATCATGCTAAAGTTTTTCGTATGCATTCATTGTAAATAAGAAATAATTAATATGATGCATTCTTACGATTATTGATCTCATTTCGTCTGATCTTCAGGACTCATTTTCCTCGTCGACAGACATTGTTGATATACGATCACAGACCGTATATTAATAACATCTTGTTCTAACATATGAACTACTTTCTTATTGTATATCTAGAAGACTAAGTAAAAGAATGATGAAGAAATATATTCTAAAATAGATCGAAGTAAAACAATCTTCCTATGATTAATAATAGCAACTACATCGTACTTCATATTTTAATCCTGCAGGGATTGAGCTCACAGCTTGTGTTTTTAACGAGATATAATTATTTCATTTTTTCAAAACAAATGTTTAGATTAACTATACATCTTACCAAGTGCATTTTCTTGATCAATACCAAGAAAGAATCCTGCAATAATAAGTCCACAACATGCTAAAGCTTTAAATGATGTTTTTTGTCCAAGCATAAAATATGTAAAAATCTAATAAATCAAAATCCTTTTTTTTTTTTTTGTCAATTTTTTTTTCAACAATAACATACCACATTAGCAACTGTAGTTAATGATCGACCAACCATATAGAATGATACAGTTAAATATTTCAAAGTTAAATTATTAAATATAATCATAGCAACAAACATAACTGATAATGGAAGAACCTTTTTATCAAAAATTTTTTGTTATAAATAAAAAAAATAAATAATTTTTTTTTGCTTTAATTAACTTACATCACGTGCAATTTTAAGATCAATTTTAAATGTTGGAAATTTTGAAAAAATTGTTATATGTTTATTTATACTTCCTAATAAAGCACAAATTCCAACTGTTACAACACATTGATACCATGTTATAAAAAGTGGTGCATCAAGCTATAATATTTATATTTAAAAAAAAAAACAAGTTCAAATAAACAAATAAAAAAACTTACTTTTACATCATTTGAACTAAGTAAATATTTATTTAAAAAAACCATTGTTATTGAAATAAACCTAAATATAACAAAACAAAAAAACTAATATAGAAAATAAAATAGTTTTTTTTTTTTTTATTTATACCAATAAAGTATAACAGCAAATGTTATTTGAATAAATCTTTTTCTCAATGTATTATTCATTGTAACAGGTGGATCCACATCAAGTTTATCTGTTGAATTATTTAGTAATTTATACGAATTATGACTCATCGTATTTATACGAAAAATCTAGAAAAAAAAAAGAATTTCAAATTATGAAAAATAATAATTTTCATTAATAGAATAAACTTCTAAATCTTATATCATCTAGTATTCATATTCGATATTAAATAGAAGACATAATCGCGCTTACATGCGTAATAAATTTTAATTTCTTTTTTCTAGAACATTATCAGAATTCCTTGTTTACTGCAGGCATCTTACACAACACGAAAGAAACGAGAAAAAAAATTACGGAAGGGTTAATCACGACCCACGACCGATATGAATTTAAATAAGATACCTGTAAAAATCCCTAAAGCTATCAAGAAAAAGGTAGAATGCAAAACAAATATCATACAGACGCCCATGGTTATCTTGATATTTATTTGTAAAACATCTTGTATAATTAAAAATCAAAATAACCACGGATGTCCGTATACTGAATGGTCATGTTGTTCGACATGTACTCAAATCTCGATACTACTTGTTACGGAATTGTCCGATAGTATGCTGACTATGTTCTAACATATACTTTTTCTTTTCGTTAGTTAGTGTAAAAAGAAAGATCAAGAACTCTGCGTCAGACCTACAGCGAATATTAGTTGTAAAGAAGATGTCGGACTATTGACTCCGGTGGGTACTCTTCCGTGTGATATTCATTTCGAAGTCTATCTTTTTTTACTTATAAGTACTACATAGTGTGTTCTAATGAAAATCCTAAAAGGTATTGAATTTAGAGATCCAAGTTTTTCGAATTTTGCGCATATAAAAAACCAGAAAGTCTTCTATTTTCATGATCAAGTGCGAAAAAGAAAACAATTCTTCATGTCATTCTAGAATAGAATTAGTTAATATATATTTTTTTTTTTTTCGTTCAATAGAAAAGAGAAGACAATTGTAAAAATGTTCATGAATGAAATGTCACTTGATTGAATAAACGTTCTTTGATTAATTGTGACATTAATGAATTAACTGCTTCTACAGCTGTTTTTGTACTAAATAACAAAAAAAAAAATTTTTTCTTCAATAGATTTTTTTTGACTTACCAATCTTTTGCTGCTTTTGCTAATTTATCATCTTGTTTTCGATCTTGTTCAGGTAATGGTAAAAAACTTGTTCGTCCTAAATGACTTTCAGCTTGTTCAAGTTTATCAGCTACATCATTTATTTGACCCGTTATATAATCAGCATTAGTTAATAATGTTGATGTACTAAAATAAAAAAATGAATATTTCTTCAACAAAAAAAAAACAAAATCATCCTAAAACAAACCTAAGTGTGCTAACCCAATAACGATTCCATAAATGTTCAAGAAGACGTTTATCAAGTGATGATTTAAAAAATGATACTTCAAGTGGATAATATTGTTTACAATGAACACCAAAATCTTCAATTTTATTTAATGGTATTGGTTGATATTCAATAGCTTCACTTTCAGCTTTATGTCCTTTTGGATATGTACGAAATGCACCAATATTAACTTTACCAGCAGATATTGTTCGTGTTGGATCAACCTGAAAAAATGATTATTTTATTGAGTAAAACAATCAAACAAAATATTATTCTTACCACAATAGCAACAAATGGATCTTGATATTGTTGATTTTGCATTTGTGTATCAACATCAATACCTGATAACCAACAACCATAACCGGGATGTGAATGATACCATCCAATAACATTTTCTGGACGATTAACTTCTTTAGCCCATAATGTATATGAACTCATATATTCATATGCTTCTTGTTGAGCATTTACACGAGTTTCTAGAATGTCGAAAAACAAATTATTAATTTTTGAATTTTATAGAAAATAATATCGATCAAACATTCTAATCATCAAGTTCAGACATACTGTTACATATTTAATGAAAATTATTCCATGTTATCATTTTCTCCATAATTCTTTACATTCTTAAGATAATGTATAGATTTCTTTGATATTAATAAACTGTCCTAACATTAGATATCAGCGGAGGACACCTTGACACCGCGGCGGGATCGAAACTGGAAAAAAGTTTTCGGAAATCTTGAAAAATACTTTTTATTTTCACAATTAATCAAAGAGTAAACAGACGAAAAAGTATCTAATTGTCAGAAGTCAAAGCTTCACCACGCATTACACTAACGATCGTACCTATATCCCACGCACGCCTACACCCTCGAAATAAATGTTATTGTATAAAATTTTACCTGTTCCTTCTACTGGTAAAGCAAATGAATCCATAACAATCATATTTTCACCATCAATTTTTCCTAATAACATACCCATAACTTCAAGTGTACCACCTGATCGAGCATGCATAACTAATTTTAATAAAGCTAAAGCTGAGATTTTACATCGTTTAAAATAATTTGGACTTTAAATTATAAACAAAAAAACAAATAATAATTTTTTTTTCCTCCTAATAAAAAATAAATTCAATTTTACTTTTGTAACCATGGTCGAGTTTGTAAAATTGATTGTTGAAAACTAGCATCATATGCATAGATTTCATCAGCTGCTGTTATTTCTTGAATATTATTCACTTTTTCAAATTGAATTAAATTTTCTTTTGCACTACTTGCCATCTGAAAATAGATAGATAAAAAAAAAACAAATGCAAATAATCTTAACAAAAAAAAATATTTTATTTTGAATCTCATTTATATAGGAAATCAGACCATTTTAATTGAATCCTAAAGGTTAAAATTATATGCGTATGTAATGTTGACACAATAGCAAATGTAATAAATTAATTAACAATTTTTTTTCTTCTTGATGAAATCAGCACTTAAGACTCAAAAGAAAGGTTGAAATTTTATAAAATTATGTCATGGTTCTTATTATTTTCAAAGCCGTAGTATAATCATCATTATCATCATCATCATCATCATTCTGTTGACTATTCTTCTCTGACTTGAGTGTCACCAATAAATGTTATGAGTGAATAGATGTCGTGCGTTGACAAGTCAAAATTATATTAAAAGTATAAATAATATGTCACAGTGTTAGAGATATGCAGTACCAGAACTCAAGTTTTAGATGTGATACGAATAAACTCTGGAATAGTTTTCTGTAGACGAGGACCGAAATCAAAAAGAATTTGGTCTGATACATCTCTAGTCAAAATATTTAAAAGACTAAAGTGATGCAATAATATTTTTTTTCTGAAACTTATCATGCGTCATAAGAAATATTCACAAGAATCCAACTGTTTTGTAAGAGATTTCAACATTTATTCTTACTTATATTTCACAATATTTCAATTGAATACAACGAGATAGAATCTATGTAAGATTTATGTATACTTTCAATAAATTGTATAATTCCTATGTTTATAATGCTTTCAGAACTGTTATCATGATTACCAATTTTCGTGTTTTATCATATCAGACATTAGCTACTGTCAGCATCGTACTTTACACAACGTGATTTAGTTTTAAAAAAACATCAATTTGTTATTTATACATTGAAATTTATCAATGTTAAGTTAAGAGAATTATTTCTGTTTTAATCAATTGAAAAGACAAGCATATCAATAATACCGATGAAAAGCGAAATCATTCAAGAGAAGAAGATGATAATCACAAAGAAAATAATAGTTATGATAATTGAAATACAAATTTTAATGAATAAGTAATGCAAAAGATTTTGTTTCAATAGAAACAAACTTTTCCGATTCTTTTGCACTTGCGTCCTTCGGTATACAACTTTTTATTTCTTCAGTAATTTTCAAATATACTCTACTATGCTATAGTCATAGAATTTATCGCTAGAGTGTTAAGAAAACTATAACTTTTTTAGTAGAAGAATGATAAAAAAAAGTTCAAAGGTGTCACGTCTTGTGCTGCGTGTCAATGAAGAAGAAGAAATAAATCAATATAAGTTTATTGACATGTTGAACAGAAACAAGATCAAAAAAGATAATGTTGCAACAAACTAACGCAATCACCCAAAAGAAAATATATGAAAAAAAAAGAAATACGTAATATGAGACTAGACATAGGACAAAGAATGAAACAATATATGTATTATCTAGCTACTCAGAATGTATAACAAAAACTAAAGAGAACGAAAGAAAACAATTATAGTATTGAATGTATTTGTTTTCACTATATGACAAAAGGCATAATCAAGAAACGCGTCTGATCGCAAAAAAAGCATACGAAGGTTGTTTGATATGATGTTGGCTGAGAAAAAAAATGGTCTCTTAAAAGCACATTCAAACGGAGCTATTAAATATCGTTACAAGCGGAAGAAACACCCTGTAACTCAAAAAATAAAATGCATTCAGCTGCATTGCAAATAAAGAAGAACGCATTTTTTTTCTCTAAAATTTGGCGTTGAAATCAGTCTTTATACAACTTCTTTTATAAGCATGGTATCATATCAGCTAAAGATTAATATGCTATTGGCTGAATGACTGCACAAGTGTACAACAAGAAACGATATTTAAAGGACTTTTCAAGATTAAGTTGAACACTTTTTATTAGTTTCATTGTTTTTTTCCCGTACATATTTCAAATTATTATCAATTATGTTGCTAACAATAAGAAAAATAAAATTCACTTATTCACTACTTTGTTATCTATCATTTTTTTGTCTCATAATTCTTATTATTATTATTATTATCTGGCAAAATTTAATTCCGCAAAAAGAAAATATGAGACCACTAATTCCGAATGTATTCAATATTGAGAAGAATCAAATTAATGAACAACACTACTCAAATATTAATTATATCAAAAACAATTTCACTTCTTCAACACCAGAAAAATCTTTGTTACTACAAATTAATAAACATACATTGACTTTGACAGATTCAAAATTTATTCATCATAATAAAACATTAGAAACAACTATTCAATGTGTCGGTTCACCATATAATCAATCTTGTTTGTATCACAATTTATATTACGTTAATAGTTGGTATATGATTTTAACAGTTAAAGGAAAACAGTTACCTTCATATTCTGTACGAACAGATGCCTTTACTATGTTGCATACAACACCAAGCAAACGTGTTT